TATGTTACAAGAGTCTTGTAAGTTACAAGGCAGCAAAATGACCCAAAATACAGCAACATACTGCGCATATATTGATGTTTTCCCACTCTGTCTGGGAGTACTGCAGCGGTTGAAAGGGGCTTTGCAGCAATAAACTTACAAAAAAACACAATACGTACTGGTCTTAAACAAGAAACTTTAAAAACAATTATGAACATCTACCTAAACGGAAAACCCCTCTCAGATTTCTGTGCCGAAACCTCTGTAAATCATTGGCTTGATTGTGGAACTGGCAAACGTCATATTTGATTCATTTAAAAAACGCAGTATCCTCGGATAAATTGAAATTCCAGATAACTTGACCCTTGTCATTTAAATTATTTCATAAAAGAAATACTGGTTACTAATAGTAACCTAGTATTTCTTTTATTACTGTATAATGTAATCCTAGTAACGACTAATTCATTGTGCAATTTATATAAATGTTTGTAATAAATAGGAGAAAATTATTTTTTTTATTCATTTAAAAGCGACGGGTTAGTTTCAACGGAGGACGGGTGCATTGTTGGACGAGCCGTCCTCGAGGACGGGAGTTTTTTCGAGCCCTGGTTCATACTGAAATAAAGAACCGCCTTTGATCTGACTTCTACCTTCGATGGGTCCAAATCAGGATTTGAGGATGAGGTCATTCTATATTCTACTGGATAATTCCAAATATATATTTAATTAAAGGTCAAATTTTAAATATAACTTCTTAATTTCGATAATTTGTGAAGAAATTATTACCATTTATTGAAAAAAGTTTAATTAAATATTCTAAGATTTTTTAACCACAGATTTGCTCGAATTCGTTTCACACCTGGTAAAAAATTAATTTAGGTAACTAAAAAAAGTTATGAAAATAAATTAAACATAATAATTTAAACCTAACACAATCTAACATAATACCATAATAAGAAAGTAATAGTAACATACAATTAATTCAATGTTTTGCATAGAATTCTATTACATTATTTAGACATCCATTTGGATTAGTTAGATTTTTTTATTTTATTTATTTATTTATTTTTGATACATAAACATTGCTACAAATCCTTTTTATTCAATTATTTGATTAAAAATAGCATTCAAATATATGTTTTTAGAAATATTAAAATTTCACGCAAGTGAATTAATATTGAACTTAAAATTATTCTTTTCATTACATAAGGCAATAATGCACATATTTTCTACTTTTTTAATGCTTAAAACCAAAAATTAAAATTCCGAAACCCCCTCCCAATACATATTAAAAAGTAATGAAACGAAATTAAATTTAGAATCATAAATATGAGACTTTTAAGAAATTCTGTTTAAAATGCTATTTCTTAAAAAAAAATAAGTATTGTAAAAAATAATTTTTCATGAGGATTTTACTTTGACTAGTCTCTATCATAGTGTTCACTAAATATCAGAAATTTTCTCTCTCTATATTTTTTAAAAAATGTAAATGATTTCAATATTCTCTTTATATTTTTGCCCTTGCTTTCATTAGAGATTTTGTGTGTGGGTGGGGGGGAGAGAAACTAGTATGATAAACGTTACGTATAACAAGTTTTCTACTGAAAACTAAACATCTGCTACCTGGCAAAAACGAGAAGTCATTAGCTTGTTCAAAACTATAAAGTTTTATAAACTGCATTAATAGAAAGCACTCGAGAAATTAGGAAATTATAAGATTTTCGTTATAAAAAATTTTCAGTGGATAATTTCATCAGAAATAGTAAAGAAAAAGGATGTAAGTATGTCATATTACTCAGGCTGTTCAAAAAATTATTTTGCTTCAGAGTTTATTTTATTGAGGTTTTAAAAAAATGATCTCGAATAACTTCTCTTATTAGAGAAATAACTTTCATGGTCATCATAAATACACTGTTGTAAGAATTGAAGAGAAATTTTCAGCGATTATCTCTAAAACTACTGGATCGACATTATGGAAATTTGATGCGTGTACAATACATTGATACACTACAAAACAAATAACCATTCAACAATTGCAACACAATCGTTAGTAATACTCGTTGAAATAAGAAGGTATGAAATGGCCACAGGACAATTCAGGTCAATTGCCACAGTAACTGCCTTATTTCAAGTATGATATAACGTTGCAAGGCCTGTATATCTATCTGTAGGAGGGGATTAACCCATTTTTGTTTTTGTTTATTTCATCTGCTGTTTCATACCTTCCCACTCCAACAAGTTCTACGCATGCGTGTGTATAACAATTATTGATTGGTTATTTCTTTTGTATTGCATCAATGTATGTACACATATCAAATTTCATTGAAATCCGTCCAGTAGTTCCAGGGATAATCGCTGCAAATTCTCTTCATTTATTATAGCAGTGTTACATTGCTTCAAAGTTTTTTGAGCAAGAAATTTTTTCAACCACATTCGTTCACATTTTTATTCCGCTCCTCTCAAAAAAATATTAATCATCATAAAAAAATGATTTTTTTTCCTTCCTCCGCAGGATTGGGGAATGCGTTTTGTTGAAATATTTCCTTCGTTATTTTTATGAGACACGCTTGCAATTATGTTGAATTGTTTTGCAAAAAGCAATCCGCCTACATCCGACATTTGTATCAATAAAATAAAACATTTTTTTTTGTTCATTTATTTCTTTTTATTGTAAACAAAAGGAGGAGTTTGAGTAGATTCAGGTGAAGTCGTAAAACATGTTTCTTGAAAGAACACTTGAAATGTGATGACATGGAATATATATTTGTCTTTCAATCAGATGTGATCTCGATATTTATTATTTTATGTATTGTTTTTCTCTCTCTCTCTCTCTCTATGTAAACAAAGTAATGGCGTCTCTTAGAAATGAAAAAAAAAATGAAAAGAATGAAAATATAAAAATGACAACGCTGATGTCGTCAGGGGGTACCAGCTCCGGAAGTCGCAAAAACACGAAACCTTTTCTATCGAGCGAGCACAACAAATACCTAAAAATTTCTCTCTCTCTTTCTCTCTGTACCCCAAAGGTTTTGTAAAAAGTTCAAGAAGAGAGCGACGAAATACAAAAATAAAATACATAAACAATTACAAAAGGAAGAAATTGTTCAAAAAACCTCCTTAAAAATATTTCTATTTTTGCTTCCATGTTCACTGTTGTGTGCTTTGGTTAATTACCATTATTATCATTGTTTTCAATGTTCATTTTCATTGTTTTCTTCCTTAAAATTTTTTATTGGTTTCAATTTTCTTATGTAATTTCTGCTGCATTGCGCCACTTTCCTTTGGAATTGCAGTATTTGACTGCCTTATACATGATTTTAGCTTTCTCTTTTTATTAATGATCAAATTATGTAATCAAAAATTCTATTCTTTATAATAAAAACAGTCAGTCTTAGATGGGGGAGTATCAATTTCAAAGAAGATACTGAAACAAATAAATTTAAAGCCGGAATCTAAAATAGATCTTCAAAGTTGAAGGAATGAAATAAATCAGCGAAGTAAACAAGTTAGTAAGTAAAGGGATGAATAAAGTAAAAGTTAAGAAATGTTGTAGTACAAAACAAAGTGTAACCCAATAGATTGTTGTGCAGCCTCACACGAGGGATAACACATCCCTACAGTTTGTCTACGGTAAAAACTCCCAGCTTCACAAAGTCTGCTGCTGTGGAAACAAGACTCTAAGGCATTTCAGAGAGGGTAGATTATCTTCACTCTAGGGCTGGCGCAATAGATCGAAGAAAAAGATACTCTCACCGACCTTTAGCCAAAACCTGTCCTACGCAATGACCTCACACCCTAGTTATACCTCGTTACCATAGTCACTGCCATGAGACCAGGCGAATGGTCAGAGGAGTTCTTAATTTAGACTAACTATATACATACATAACAATATACATAAAACATTATAAGATTTTGAACAGAAGAAATGAGTGTAGATAGTGAGATTGGTAATGCTCGAAAAAAATCTTGTTCCTCTCTGTATTTTGGTCAAAATTTCAGTTTTAAAAAAATGGCACTTTGTTTTTTTTAACTCTACTAACGACCATTTTCTCTTCTTTTTTGATACCTCGTGCCCCAAACTAACTTAAAAAATTGACCCAGTTTCCTTGACAACGGCTGCAATCCGGCCTACCTGCCTTTCTTTCATATATGGCAACGTTACTTTTAAAAAGTAACGAGTAAAAGTACAAGTATTCTTATAAAAGTAAGGAGTAAAAAGTAAAAAGTTCTTATCTTAAAAAGTAACGAGTAAAAAGTACAAGTACTAAACAAAAAAAGTAACGATTTAAAAGTACATTTCTAGGAAATCGAAAATTCAAAGTAACCTAAAATTTTATTGAATAATATTCTTATTTTCTTTAATGATTTTGCAAAATTGTTGTTATTTATTTAATTATTTTTAATTTTTAAAGTTATGGATATTAATTTATTTTTAAATTCGGAAGAATATTATAATATAATTTTATAATATAATCGTATAATATAATTTTAAAATCAAATATAATTTTAATATCAAACTTTTTATGGATTTGCACGAAAAAGAAATTTTATCTATTGACTTTAATTTTTAGTTTATTATTTTTATTTAATTAAATTACCATTGATTTAAAATTGTTTTACTCTTTAGAAACGCGTTTTAAAAACACAAA